TAATTCAAAGCAATCGGTTTAGTAGTTACGGCGTGAAAGCGGAACAAACAAACAAACAAACTCATTTTCCGATTTATAATATTAGTAAGGATTAGTAAGGATAAATTAGACGTTACTATTGGTAACGTATTTACGTTACGGTTAATGTATTTAACTTAATAAAGTGTTAAAACAATTACGACATTATTCTTTCAAAGATGAAAACAAGACTTTGACGTAACTTGACATTCCATCTCCATTCAACTGATAATTTGTTATTTAAATGAGTTTATTATTATAATAATGCGTAAATATATGGCCAAAGTTTGTCGTCGTTCGTTGGTACGCACTTGAATTAGCAGATTATCTAGATTGTCCAAAATAATTATTAGGTATGATGTTTAAAAAGATATTTTTTGAGATTGCTAGACCCAGAAGTAGAGAAAAATATTTAGTTCTTATTTTAGTGAAGTACTGTTTCGTAGATTGCAACATATCTTAATTTTAGCTTGATCTACATAATATTGGTTTTGGGTCAACGTTTTCGGTTACGTTGTACCTATTGTGTTTCAAATAAGGGTCAACCACGAACCGTATGTCGTACAATTTTGTCACCTAACATTATCTAAGATTTTAAAACAAGTTAAAAGTTTAGGTTGACATCTTTTATCAGATAACATAACGCCTTTTATCCCCGTAGGGGTAGGCAGAGCTGCACACAGAAGTAACACCTACTTTTCACTATTTATGTACCTAATGAGTCCCATGTAATAGGGGGTGACCCTATTGCCATATACATACCGGGCACATTTCCAGACTCCGTGCTACTACTGAGATTTTTTTTAAAAACCCATTAATACTTTGCATGACCCGGGAATCGAGAGCGAGACCCGAGACCTCTTGCCCGGCAGTCGCACTTGCGACAACACGGCTATCGAGGCAGTTTTCTATCATGGCATCTTTTATCACTGATTCATTAATTAATTTAGACACTTTTCTGTAGAGTACTAAATTAACTATTAACCAAAAAACTGTTGTAATATTATATGGCGAAATATTCACAAAGAAATTAATGGATATTCATTTGAATAATATTATTCTCACCAATAAAACAAAATGTCAATTTATTACGTTTTGTAATCTTGATTAATGAATTGAGTTTTATGGTTTTTTGTACATTGTCTATGTTTATGGTTTTAAATGTTGTGCAGCTAACCTTTGTAAAATACCAACTATAAACTGCAATTCTACATCGGCCGTGGAATTCGTATGTTTAGACTATGTATGACTCATGCCATAGATGCTTTTAGGATTTCAGAACAATTTTAGCAATACAAACAAATATTTCTTTTTCAAACATTGATATAAAGCGGTTAATAAACCACTCGTGTACCAGGGAAACATACTTATGTAGTACATGTAGGTACAGCCAGCGAAATGTCGCGAAAGCAGCTTTCATTCATGACCGTGTCACTTGTTTTCTTATATACACATCGTACAATGCATTACCAATGTATCTTGGTCTCATTTTATATGATCTATCCGCTCATTCAACGACCAGTTTATATTGGATTTGCGTAGGTCGATGTGAAGCCGTGCGTACAATCGATAACATCGTTTATTTAATGTCCCGAGAACGAAATTATATTCGCTATTATTTATTATTTTATTCTTAGAATTACTTGAAATAGTTTGTTTTATATGTGTGCGTTATGTGTAAAAGTGTGTGTTATGTGTGCGCGTTAACGGTTTTAGTGCAGATTTTATGTGCTCTGATGTTGTAAAATTGTCATAAGTTTTCATAATTGGCCGAGTGGTTGCAAGTGTCGGGCTAGGGGTCTCGGGTTCGATTCACGAGTCGGACAAAGTTTGACTGGGTTTTTAAAAAAAATCTCATAGTAGCACGGAGTCTGGAATTGTGCCTGGTATATGGTAATAGGCTCACCCCCTATTACATGGGACTCATAACATAAATAGTGAAAAGTGAGTGTTACATTGTACAGTGGCATAATGTGCACCTCTGCCTACCTCTTCGGGGATAAAAGGCGCGATGTTATGTTATGTTTTCATATGTTCTTATTTTAGGTTAGTTTTTAAAACTACTGGCACTGTAGTGTTTTACAATATGCTCAGTTTTAATTATTATAGCAGTGTTTCTAAATAGCCTTGGAACTATAAAATGAAAATTCATAATTTTTAGTAGATAGAGAATAATCTTGTTCATTATACAGATTGCTAACGTTACGGTACCGACATTCAAGTTAAACAGGATTGCAGTAACTTAATTACCTTACTTAACCAAGAGCGCATTGCACAAATCAATCTCCTATCACGTTATATGTCAAAATCTTCGCCAAGATACAAGTTTACTAGCAATAGAAGTTGGCCAAATGTTTGTAATAAATATATTAATCAAATAAATAACTTTTGCTTTCACATGTACTAATTGTTAGCAACGTTTATGTCATAAAACCACGTTAAGGCATTTCTATTAACGAAATGAATTAGTGTCTTGAACATTACATTAGCTTTCGAATAATATTATTTACGACTAAAGTATTGTCTTTGAAGTATTGAAATCTAATATGCTTAGGAATTATCGTATTTAGAATCAGTGAACTGTATAAGATTCAATTTCCTTTGTACATTTTACGACTATATGGTCGGTTATTGCATATTAAAATATAATGTAATTAACAATTGCACGATGTATGTGATATGTAAAATTATTGAATCTTAGTGAAATTGTTAATATACCTACGTACTAAGATTTAATTAGGATTAATAAAAACATGCGTAGAATTAAAGTGGTTTGTGGTAGAAATATACATTTTTAATTAAGTTATTCTTATGTTTTTCGATTTACTCGTGTTATTATTTGACGAAGAACTCGACTAGTTTCAAGCCGTGCTAGAGGTTCATATACATGAGCAGCATTCCGCGACCCGCGACGCGACTGACGCTTTAGTATGCCTCACGAAAGTTATAAGTATAACATGAAAAAGTTATTCTTGATGATTAATAGACTCTTTTTATTAATATTGTTATGGTGTAAAAATATTTTATTATATTATGCGAAGCCTTGTTGACTCAAGTGTGAGCTTTATAAAATACTTTGCGGTCATTAACACTTATTTACGTTATGCCTCACCCAGGCGGGAGCAGTCATTCGATGATTTACCCCCCTTAAAAAAAAAATACCAAGCTAATATTAAACTGACTCACTCAATATAACCTGACCTTGTACACTGGTTATTTATTTACTTACTAAATACCTTAAATATTTGTAGAATACTTCTAAATATGATTCATTAAAATATATGTTTAGATAAATTGATGTTTGTCGCTCTTGAACTCGAAAACTGCTGACGGGATATGAATGAAATTGCGCAAATAAAAATAGACACATATTTTTATCCCAGTACTTATTACTTAATAGTTATGTATTTGCAACTAAATGTGAAATATTACTTATGAAGAAAACAACCGTAATATTGTTTTCTTCGTAAGTATGAAAGCAATTAACGAAATATATGTCAATGAGGTATTGTCTGTACAAATTGTTGCGTGTTGACACGTGCGCTTGTGCATACAATACATAAATACACGAATGTATATTGTATATGCATAGCAAGTAATAAAACTTGAAATAAGCCTATAATTATACGCTTATAATTAAAACGATATATATACGTTCTGACATCTTAATTAATTGAAACGTATTCGGAGTCGCGGAAAACCTAACGGGTTGCCGGGGCTCCGGCTCGACGTGCAGGAGTAGGAACGGGGTGGTTTTTAGTCAGTAAGAGTCTGACACTCCCTCCCGCCTCACCCAAATGGGAGCAGTCATTCGATGATTATCCCCCTTAAAAATTACAAAAAAAAAACGTAAAGGTAAGTGAAAGATATGTATACTGTTTCATTGTCAATTTAACTATCTAATTTTATGAGCTTTTCTTTACCTATCTACTTTCGTAAATCAATACATAAAAATCGGTTCAGTGGTTTATGAACAACACACCACTCATATATTGAATTTAGATGTGTCGCCAAATATGAATAAAAACAATGATTGTATGTATTCTAAACCCAAATGTATGTTGTTCAGTACTTCTTTACAAAGGCAATAATTACGGGAACTGTTTAGTACAGTAAAAACTAAAGTACTTTTGCATGTTTTTCTTGCGTCATAAATAATGTTGTTAAAAGACCATTGACTGTGATTCCGACTACTTATTTATGTAAAAACGGTCAAGAGACGTTTTAGAATATTTTCTAATGTTATATTCAAACCGAAGTACTGAAATGATTATTACAAACAGATTCGTCCGACAACTTAGTCTGTCTGCCAGGTCAATAAAGCTAAACAATTTGTTCGAAAAAAATCCTGGTACATTAAAAAAATTGCATTCACATAGTTGTCTTTGTTATTCCATTCTCAATTTGTGTCACATTTATATCCTCAGATCAAGGTTTTAGGAAACCTTGGTGTACTCTAATCAACTAAGAGTTTCCTATCTCTTCAAGTATGCAATATTCTTTCGTTTATGTCACCGTTAACAAGTTTAATACGTACTAAAACTTTCGATTCTAATTGTCATTGAGTGACGTCACTGTACACTTAGCAAGTAATACGTGTTTTCTGCATTACATTTAAAACACTCGAGTTCCTGATAAGGGACCCTCAAATTAAAGGTTTTGTAATCAATAAACTGACTCAATTCAGTACATTATTCTCTACATACTTAAAATAACTTTAATAACATCTGTATATTAAATGAAAATATTATTGAAACGAGTTCGAAGACTTTTTAGACGTAATCAAATGTTTTTAGAAAACAAGATGATATGATATGAATGATCTTGCATCACTGTCTTATCTTTATTACGTATGTCAATAAAAATAGAAACTTCATACGTCGATGTCATAGGACCAGTCCGCTTTGGTCCTTCGGTACAAATGCACTGGAAATCTGTGTATTGCTTAAGTTTTTAACTAAGTTTAATTTTGCCTTTAGTTGCATTAAGACGTATAGTTGGAGACTTCTACTCCTTATTAAATGGTTTTCTCGTAATTAGGTAATCAATTATTTTATCTTCGATACTGTCATATGTTAATCTATACGTAAACGTGTGATAAGCGAAAATCACAGCTATCATAATATTATTATTTTTGTCACTGTTTAGAACCATACAGTTTACATTGCAAAGCGGTTGTTAACGTACGAATTGTTGTGAATTTTTTGCTTTGCTTTTTAGTTTAGTGTGTTGTTTGTTAAACCGGATTTGAAGTCGGTCGGTGTGTACTATTGTCGACTATTGTTTTGTGCCAATTTTACTCGTGCATTCACATCGTCTGCTTGTTTAAAACTTCAGGTAAGATGTTTTCTTTATTGGTAGGCTTTTCCAATCTGTTTCTAAGTATTTGTTTTTGAACTGTATTATTGAATAGGAAGGTTGAAAATCTATCTAAGTATGTCCGATTTTAGTAGCTCGTATTGCTCGGGTTTATGCATTACTTATGTTTATAGAGTTTTGTTTATCTTTTGGTACTTACTTAATTTCATTTATTCATTTGTTTCTGTGGACTGGTAGGTAATTTGCTTCATATTGTATCAATAAGGGTATCTCGAATCTCAGAACTGATTTTAATATCGCCTTGATCCTTGTAAGCTTTACCGTATTCATTACTAAGAAATCGTTCTTAACCAACGATATAGAACATTTACTTTTTGATAGTGTGCATTAAAATTAATACTGACGAATGACTGGTATTATGTAGATTATGTTATGTAAGTCTACCTTTCAGATATTTTGTATTATATGTCTGTAGATAGTTTCTACTCATTACTTTTACTTTAGATTTGCAGACGACATTAACATTAACACCCCATAGAATTATACCAAGGCTATTAACACCCCATAGAATTTTTTTTGCTGACTTTCTTCCATATTTCTTGGTGTCTGCCTGGGGGGGATGGTGGATGACAGTACGTACTGTCAGACGTCGTCACATGTCCCTTTTTTTGTCTTAATTATCTTTCTTCACACGATCATCTGTTTTTGTTCGTCCTCTTTCATTCGCTAGTAACGATATTCATACAAATTCAGACGGTCGCAACTGTGCAAATTCTGGTCATCTTTTAAACACAACTGTTCCTCATTGCTCCATTAATATGTGATCGAGTAATTTAGATAACATGAATGTCGTTCGTACTGTATAGCCATTGGTATGCGGCCATCTACTTGTGATCCTTAAACAGTAATTCTACTTTATCAGTGCAATCGGTTGCGAAGATAATTTTAACGATGCCATTTATGCTTCTGATTACTGCTACATACGGACCACTGTTTTATTCTGCTTATCTCTAATTGATAGTGTATACGAAGGCTAGAAGACAAAGTTTGCATACAAGAAGCCAGCAATGTTTAAAAGATTATCTTCGAATTTTACAAGAAGGTTGGTTGGTATTTGGCCGAAAGTTGACGCGAAAATAAACGTTGGTCAGTTACTGTTGTGCACTTGTTAAGTGGTAAACGAAACAAATATTTTAGTATCGTAAATGGGTTACAAAGTAACGGTAGACTGTTTTTATAAGCAAGCCTCTCTTTAGCATTCATGAGTTGAACGGCAACGCTGTCTCGCGATTCTATCAGCCTTGTTATTCATGTTTACAACGGTAATTAGTGTCAAATTAAATTGATAAAATTGCATGTGTTTTGCTACTATTAATCATCGAATTTCGTTTATGAGCTCGTTTCAAAATTATCGGAAAAATTATTGATTGAAGGTTTATGTACTTTTGATACGCAAAAGTTTGAACTATTTTCATTTTTTTGTAATTAAATTGATTCAAGCGTAACTGTAATATTTGGTACAAATGTTTATTCCGCTGGAAATTATAACCAATATTATCCTTTTCCTTAAACGATACATATTATGTATCTAATCTACTCAATTTCAACCAATGATGAACAGGTTCTGAGTTACACTTTTTGCTAAGCACATCGGGTCTGGTGTAAGTATAACGAATAATATCCAAACTGGTTTATTAGTTCGTTAAATAGCTTAGTCTGTCTCCAAGGTTGGCGTCAATTGTTGGTAATGAATCGCCAATTGTTGCCGATGAAGCGTGCATTTCCTTGCGATTATGTACCTCTTAAAGTTTAGATTGCAAGTAAGCTTGACAACAAGATGAGATCTGGAATCGATTCTCAGGCGGAGCAAGGCATTGTTCATATGTTGTTTTAGAAATTCTTGCAACAGAACGGGCAATTGGCACTTGCCATATTTCGGATTTAGGATCCTCAATATAACTGGTAAAATGGATGTTTCTGAAATGTCTCATTGCTGGCTATCTCTTTGATTAATAACTCTTATTACTTTGTGTTGTTTGTAAAGATGAGGATGACACAAAATGAAGATGGAAATCAGATTCCGATCGTCAGTGGACATTGAGGTCGACGTGCTGTTTTCCTTTTATGATATAGGAGCTACCTATGTTCTACATAGTGCGGCGGCCATATTACCGTGCCACAGAGTAAAAACTCATGTGCATTGACCTCCTTACTGATCTTAATGAAGATTATCTCTTTTCATAGACGTTTCTAACAACTGTGGAATTTTAAAATATAAATAAAGTATTCTTATGTGTGTTAAAAGTAATTTTATCATAATATTATTTTAATATTGATATTCCAATAGGCATGAAGCATAGCGGTATTAAATTAGTTCAGAAATATTAAAAAAAACGAATTCTAATCGCGCCCTTTTTTTGCGATCGAAAGTTTCTTTATATTTTGCCGAGCCCAAATTAATTACTTATTGTATTAAATATCACATCTTCTAATCAAATCTAATCGGGTTTTTAATGGTTTGATATAATAAAGATGTAAATCTAATCTAAATTAAACCTATTCAATATCCGTAGTGATAAAAATATAATGTACCTAAACGGTACATAATTGCAATTCTTTTTTATATAACTCACTGTACCTATTAGGCTATTAGTTATAACCTTGATAAAGTGATATAAATTAAACCTTATTTTAATTGGAATATGGTAGGTATTTGATCTTATTCGTTTAGTTTCATTGAAAGAGTTGCATAGATCGGGCATGCCTTTACAATTTCACAAGTATGGATAAGAATAAATAGGTACATAAGTCAGTGTAGTATAATTAATTATTTAGTTACAAATGTTAGAAAGATGATAATAATATGTACAATATTGAACACTGTTTTTAATTATGTTTTCTTAATAAAAGTAAATTATCTATTGTCTAGTCATTATGGGAAGAAATGAAAGAGAGAAAAGCCAATTTCATTTGACAAATCTAAATAGGCGTGTGATAGCGATTCTAGAATATTCCAGTAGACCAATAAAGTTTCTTCGGATACCCAAAAAGTTGGAAAAGTCAATTAATTGTACTAATAAAGAATACCTATACATAGGAGAAGGTAGGTATGTCTTGACGGTTGTCCTTATAATGGCCTTAGCACACAAAGACTTCGAATTTAAAGTAAGTTACACATGTTTCCTCGGCATGTTTCTTGATAGACATTGACATATAGAATTATTGTTGTGTATAATTTATCTATGTGGATTAATTGGAATGAATGCTTTGACATTGGCTTTGAAATGGTGAAAAACAGTAGCTGCAGACACTTTTTAGAGGTCCTTTCGGGACATACGTCGTCGGTCGTGTTAAGTATTGAAAAATTTGGCCTTGGTGCTGTGTTTCAGTACGGTGTAATGGAAAATATACTATCTACAAACAATAATCTCCATGGTGATACAGTGTCGCGTATGTGTAGCAGTTAATGTGTTATTCTATTGTGCATTACAATAATAATACGTTTATAATACCGCACAGAGCTTAACACAACCTTCATGGTCCGCTTGCTATAGGAAAACCCCTGTAGCAAAATGTAATGCCGGCGCCAGACATTTGCGCATTTGTTTGTTCACATTGTGTGCCACGGACCTTTGATACTATGTTCTTTGTGCCACATAATGTGCTACACAGGTCTGGCACCGGCATTAAATACCAGTACTTGGACGTGTTTTGACTTGATACATATTAGGAACGGTTGTCAAAATACCGCGCCTATTCTAAGGTGTATACTTCCTTATCTCAAATAACATACAGGTCATGTTGACATGTTTGTAACATATAGTTACATTTCTTTTTTTATATGCAATTTGACATTATTGTTTTAATGTGACATTGTTTTTCATATGTTGTTCTAACTTGACATTTACTTTTTATTTAACAATTGTTAGTGCTAGGACCGTGCGAGACTTTGCCTCACCATTTCTTTTCTAATTACCCTTTTTCTGACAGTTTGAGTATTTGTGCGACCCACGCAAATGTTCTTTAGGTTGGTATTGTTCGTCGAATCAGTCAGCCTCACCTGTTAATTGAGCTGACTGTAAACCGACACATGCGTACTGCCTTCAGAACGGGTCCGCTCAAACTGTTGTGGTTCTTTCCTCAAAAGCCCACTACAGAAAAAACTGGCACGGTTCTCACACATAATCTGTTATACATATTGTCTGGACTTTAAAAGAGACAGACCTCTGAGTTTGTTTCGGCATTTCTTCTCAGAGTAGTCAGTTAGGAAATGTCGACCTCATCGTTCGCTTGATAAAATTGACGTGTAAAAGTGCTGCCTTGTAGCCTATTTGCAGAAATAAATTCACTTGTTTCACTTGTTTCACTTGTTTCACATAGTGGAAAGGTTTCAAGGTGATGGACTTTGTAATGTATTTATAGTCAAAGTTATACATAAAGAATTATATAATTTCGACGGATTTTTGTCATAGGAGTACCTAAAATATCATACCAAAACAGAGATGCTTAAATATCCACGGAGAGATATGAGTTCAAAAAATCATTGTACATTTTTTCCAATTCGTTTCCTTCTTCAATTAATTTTACAAGAACACTCTTTAAATCAAATTATGTTTGGTTTGTTTTTTTTAAGCGTGGAAAATAACATTTGTCAATCTGTCACTGCAAAGACTTGCCTACTGTTACAAAGGAGCAAGGTTGTGTTACATGTTTGTTATTGAACGCATACTAAACATTGGCAGTGAAAACGTATGGAGAGGTCGTCGGCTTTTAATGGCCAAGATTTTAAGAAATTAAGTAAGTTGTAACCTAGAAGAGGTAGTCTAAGCCTTTTTAGGAGTAACTGGTGACCACCAAGATGGTTTTAGTGTGGTACAATCCTAGTAATCCCACACAAGCTAGACTTTCTTATTAAAAGCTAGCCGCCTTAAAAGTTTCACCCATCATAAAAAGATAAGATCTAAGTCTAGTTTTCTACGATCTCCGGCCACCGTAAGTGCGGGCCTGCGCACGGCGAG